TCAGCCTCCTGAGTAGCTGGGACTACATGCATCAGGCACAATGCCTGGCTATTTTTTTTAGAGATGGGGTCTTGCTCTTGCTCAGTCTGGTCTCGAGCTCTTGAGCTCAAGCAATCTGCCTGCCTCAGCTTCCCAGAGTGCTGGGATTACAGGTGTGAGCCACTGCACTCAGCTAAAATTCATCTTTTAATATTTTCTGAAAATCAAGGCTTAATTTCCTCAGAGGCTCTATTCTTATGGCTGCATGACAGTGTATCCACTAATGCATGTTCAGGTTGCACTGGCCTCACTGTGACAGATTGTTACACAATAAGTAGTAACCTGGAATCAGAGGGCCTGGATTGCAGTGGCTGTGCAATCTGCAAGTGATTTAACTTTTGCAATCCTACTTCTGTATTTATGCAGTAAGAACTGTTATGCATACAATCTGGGATTATTGTGCAGAGCAAGCATGCACAATTGTTTTAAAAATAATGAAGTGCTAGGGAATTGGTATGACTTTGTTATATTGTCTTTAGATTGTACTTTCTTCACACACCTCTAGTAGGGAAGTATACATTTTGGACCATGGAACGGATTGTAAGAAACTCTAGGGGAAATCTCACCACAAATGAGGGGCACATATATAGAAAGATGTACTACTAGAAATTGTTTTCTTTTCCTATAAACCAAAATAGAAAACAAAGTAGTAATTGTAAGCATGAATTATCTACTCGTCTCAATTTCTAACAAGATATTTTTTAGTTCATAGTTAAGGAAAGCATTTTTGAAAAGGTCATACATGCATGGTAAAAATTCAAGCAGTATAAAAGATTGTGTCAATAAAAGGTCATTTCCTGAACCTCCCCACCACCACCTCATGCCACTAATGTTCTAATTTTCCTTTATGGGAGAAAATTCCAATTTTGTACCTACCCATGTATCTATGTACAATGAAATCTTTACATATAATTTTCAGGAACATTAGTTATGACCCTTTGCATTTGGCCTATTCATAGTAGTGTTTTATTACAACCTAATTTTGGGCAAATACTGCCTTTTGAGAGACATTTCTATTGGGGTCATCTGGTTTGTTGTCTCCTTTCTCCCTGTGGTTGTTTAGATAAACTACTCCTAAAGCAACACATCTATTTTCTTTTCCCTATTTTCTAACCATTTTCAAAATCAAGTTTTTGCAGTGTTCCAGAGCAGCTCGGTGAAGAGCTGAAGCACATTGCTTTGAGCTTCTCCCTGAAATGAGCCCTCCTTAAGTGTATTTCCTGTCATTAAATTCCTTATTAAAGGCTTATTTATTCAATTGCTGTAAATCAAACTCTTCAAGCTGAAACCTGGGAATGCTCTTGTTGTTGAGCATTTCAAAGGGCCAAATTTACTGCTATACATTTTGTTACAGAATATAATAAAAATTGGGGCAGTCACTAATTCATTGCAGCAGGCACTGCTTACCTGCTGAGCCCCCAGTTTCCTAGCTAAGCTAACTTGTGCTCTCACTCTTCCAACACTCTGCAGCGTCACAGAAACCTCCCACCCCTGTGTGCCTCATTTCTTCTCTGCTCAGCCTGAACTCCATCTTCTATTCCTGAAAGTATTCTCAAAAACAGCCTAACCTCTGCATCTGCTACTCCCACTAAATGAACCCTGTATTGCACCTATAATCTGCTTTTTCTACTACTATGGCTGGGTGTGCCCTATGAAATAGTGTCACATAATTGCAGGTTGCCAAATTCTTCATTTTTAGGAGGCCAAGTCTGTTATGCCACTTGTCAGTCCTTTTATAGTATCATTTAGGATATAGGTTTGACTGGTTGTGATAACCATTGTCAGTGCTATTGCCACAACCGTGTTTAATAACCATCATTATAATCATCCTAACAATATAGTCTGTTTCACTTTAATGTAGTTAGTCCATGGACAGACCATTCCATGCTCCTGTGGTGGCTTTTCTCCTGGAGGCCATCCAGAGACACTGGTTCCTTCCATTTCGTTCTACCTTTCCCAGTGAATGACCCCGATCTGGCCCATAGATGATCCACTGCTTTGTCCATGTTCCAGACAGCAGAATGGAGGAAGAGGGGAAGTTGGGGGCTTGCTCCCCTTTTAAGAGTGTCATCTGGAAGTTGCCCCCATCACTGCCAGATTTTACTCTCTCAGCTATACTCAGCTGCAAGGGCAGCTGAGACAATCTTTAAAAACAAAACAAAACTATTTAAAAAATCAAAGTATAAAATACATACTTGAGAAGTGCAAAAACATAAATGCAAAGCCTGTTGAACTTTAATAGAACATGCATGTGTAACCAGCATCTGGAAAAGAAAGCATCACTAGAATAGCAGAAACCTCCTGCCTCTCTCTAGGTTGGACTCTGCTTCCAAGGGTAACCGCTATTGTGTTCTAACAGCATAGGTGATTTTCAACCATAATGTTTCAAAACATTATCCAGCAGGTTACGCTATGCTGTGAAAATTTTAAAAGATGGTTGAATTATTTTCAAAAGAAGTTTAAAGCACAGTAAGTATATTTTTTGATCAACATAATTCAAGTGTGCTGCAGAAGTTTAACATGTTCAGGTGTGCCGTGAGATAAAAAATGATGAAAAGGCTTGGCACCTGTAGCTTAGCAGCTAGGGCGCCAGCCACATACACCGGAACTGATGAGTTCAAATCCGGCCCAGGCCTGCCAAACAATGACAACTACAACTAAAAAATAGCTGGGCGTAGTGGCAGGCACCTGTAGTCTCAGCTACTTGGGAGACTGAGGCAAGAGAACTGCTTAAGCCCAGGAGTTTGAGGTTGCTGTGAGCTGTGATGCCACAGCACTCTACCCAGGCCAACAGCTTGAGACTCTTATCTAAAAAAAAAAAAAAAAAAAAAAAAAAAAAAAAAAAAGAAAAAGAAAAACACTGGCATAGATTGACCTGTTTCTCTACTCTACAAAACAAAATCATACATCATTTGTGTCTTATTTCTTTGGCATGGTATGTGAAAATCAGCTACATTGTGTGGCTAAGTTCCCAACCCAAAACTCTACTACTGTTAAAAGAATGCTATCAAGGACTATCAGCAGGTTGCTAACCACTAGCTGTCTCTCTCATTGACTTTGATGTATCTTCCTAATTTTTCCTTTTCTAAAACCCCTTACTACCTTCTGCACCCTGTATTGACAAGATTTCTTTTTTAACTCTGCTGGAAAATGGATGCTGCAAAGTCTTTTGTTTCTTTTACTACAAATATAACACATCTACACTTACTCCATCTCATTTCCTCTAGCCTCAAGTGAACTGGCACAGCATTGCTTATGCAGCATTTTATTGAGACAAGTGTAAGGCCTGCACAGATTCAAAGAGATGGGAAAATAAAATCTAGATCTTACTGGGCCATGTTGTGTAAGAGCGTGTGGGGACACTGCTTAGACATCTCTGAAAAGCATGGACTACTTCAGCTATGTTGAAAGCATTTGCACAGCTAATATTTAAAATCAGAGTAATTATATATGCATCTCTAAGAAATAATAAAATTTCAATTCTTTCAAGCCACTAAATTTTCAGGGGATGTTTATACAGCAATAAATAATGTATTGGCTAGGTATATCAGTTATTTACAAGAAAACTGCATAACATACCACCCCCAAAGTCTACAGTTTACTATCATAAACATTAATTCTTGCCCACAAGTGTACAGGTCAATTGGGCGTTTTTGCAAGTCTGATATCAAATGTATCTGCAGTTAGTTTGCAGGTTGGCTGTGGGGTCAGCTTGTCTTACATAGCCTCACTCATATGTTTTGCTAGCTGGTACAACAGAGGTGACTAGACCATGCGTCTCTCATTATCCAGCAGGTTAGGCTGGGCTTGTCACCATGGTAGCTAGGTAGGATTCTAAAAAAAAGTGGCAATGTTCAAAACCTTCATAATTCTACCAGGGCTGGCATCTTGTTATTTTCTCTGCATTCTAAGGGAAAGGTAAATATGCTCAGAAGGTAAGAGGAACTTCAAAATCACATGGCAATGTTCTAAGTACATGGAGAGGTGAAAAACTGGGGATACACTGCAAGAAATCTATCCAAAATACACCTTATTGCTTTATTGATACTTTTATAGAAAGTAAAAAAGAATTCCATTCTGGTAGATATAAATTGTGTTGATTCTTATCCTATTTCTATCCAAATGCTTGAATGGGAAGCTACCTTCTTTTAAAAAATATCCTGGGTAAAAAGATTCTGAATCTCAATTATCCACTCTAGGGTTTGACAACTACTGATCATATAAAACTCTCATAAAATATATAAATTCAATCTCTTTTCTTTTCATTCAGCTCGCACTGGCCTATTTCTTTCCTTTACTATTTCTCTTATTCCATCTGAAGCAGCATAAGCGATTTTTTTTTTTTTTTTGCCATGAAAGTTAACTTAAGCTCTAGGGATTCAGTGAAGCTCTCAATACCAGAAGTATGAGAATAAACTAACAGTAACAAACAGTAGATGTGTTCCTCTGCATCAGTGGGAAGAAAATGAAAAACAGAATAAGGAAATTAGACAACACAAAGGTCAACAACTGGACTTTAATGAATAATTATGGTAAAAACATTTTTGAATAGATATTTGGATATAAAACATATAAAAAATGAATGAAAACACTTTTTCCCTAAGTACTTCTTAGAATAGCTATGACTAAGTTCAATTTGATATATATATCAGAGCTTAAAAACCAAGTAACAAATTTTTGCAAAGTTAAACTTGAGACATGGACATTTATTATCTTAACATTAGATACATTCTCTTGACAGCTGGTTTATTATTAATAGGTTTGCCTTTTTAAAGTTTTTCCAGGAGAAAACACAAGAAAAATTATCCAGGTTACCTACTGTATTTTAATATTACTTAGGAATAACACAATCTTAAAACAGCTCAATTTTAAAAACAATGACAAAATGCTAAATGTTATTTTCAGGATTTTCTTTTTGAAAAGAATCTCTTTTTCATATCTTTGATGAAAAATGAGTATAATGAAAGCAATTTTGTCCTGGCATTCGTAGGTTGATATCTATACTGTTCATAAATTCAACATGCAATAGTGTCTGCTTTAAAAGAGAATGACACTACTGGGTAACATGAAATAGAGAAGCCAACTGTAAGAGATGCAGTCATTCTAGTGTATTGAGTTATCCTCTCCTATGTTTTACAGCACATCTCTGAAAAGAGATCCATGTCCTAATTTCACAGATACTAAACAATGATCTATAAGGAAAGAGATCTTTCCTTACAGACATAAATAAGATATGCTTACCTCTTTGACAAAGGTTATTATGAGAACCCAATTCTAGGTGCCATAACTACATGTTACCACCACAAACTACCATAGGTATTTATTAAGAGGAATGTTATTGGCATTGTGGGTGAGATAATTTGTAGTGTGTGGAACTACTCCAGATACTGCAGAACATTTAGCCATTTCTGGCTCACTCACTAAAAACCAGGAGTTTTCAAAGTCACTGTAACAATCAAAAAACACACACTTCCAACTGCCCTTTGATAAGAACCACTGAGATAGCTGATTCAAGATTAATATTTACTAACTTCATGACTTCCACAGAAAGTAACTGCTTCAATTTCTCCAGTAATGATGACTGAAGAGGAACATATTCTAAACAACATTGTAATTAAATGTTATTTTGGGAAGGTAAGCTGATTTCTTCAAACTCATGGTGATCTAAAAGGATCAGATGCACAAAGTGCAAAGTGCAATACTTATTTATCCCCAAATGCACACACACATTTACAGGAAAATGTTTACACTCTATTAACATATATTACTCCATTTATCTTAAGTATAAAAATATGTTCATCTGTTACAATAACATAAGAAACAAAGATGTTCTTGATAAGTTCTCTCACACTGATGCTCCTGGAAACTGCTGCTGTCTTTGCTCCAAAACTTGCTGATTTAATAGTTGTTGTTGCTTCTGTAAAAACTGCACCACTTCAGGACTTCTCAGTAATGACTTAAAAAGAAAAAAATATCAACAGCATTAGATTATATCCATGCTGGATATTTGGAGGTGTTCCTAAAGATACAACATGCTTACCAAACAAAGCACTACAATTAAGATGCAAACTAATAATAAAGTCTGATATCATATGTCAAAATACTAAAATCTAAAAATAGGTGAAAGAGAATGTTATTGGTGACTGTGCATGTAAGAAATGCTTTCCATGATATGCCAGCAAATATATTCTCTTGAAAAATATAAAAGCAAAGAGCTAAGAAGAGCACTGACCCACTACTATAGCAAGAAGAAAATGGAAATGAAAGGTAGCCACACATGAAAATGGCAGTTAATGCCAGTTTGTATTAATACGAACACTTATTCTAGTATTGGAACTCAAGTTTCTCCAACTAGCTAAGTCTTCATGAGGAAATTAAAAATTATATGACTATGTACAGGT